ATTATTTGACTGTGAGTGTTTATGTCTCTGTGTTTTTTATTGATACCTGGAGTAAGCAAAGGCGCAGGTATATCAACAACAGCAAAAGATAAATTTCTGAATCATTAAAAACCTTTCCTGAATGTACACTTATAAACAAAGACTTAAAGCTAACGGTGCTTAATAACCCAGGCTGTCCAAACGCCAAACTAAACTTAAACAACAACAATCTAAAACAATAAGCAACAACCAGAGTGAAACTGAAGAAGAAAGAAAACGGAAACTCGAGGATGGGTGAGAGGAGAAACTAGCTTATATCCTCACCTCACTTTATGACCAGCACACCCAGCAGTATATTTGTTTTATATAGTTATTACCTACCGTTATTGTTATGGTTTGGTTAGGTTAGGTTAGGTTAGGTTTGGTTAGGTTAGGTTAGGTTAGGTTAGGGAGAGAATCATTTTCTATGTGATTAAAGTTATTGGCCAAATTACCTCAACGCTTTTGGCAGAGTCCACCTAATTCGAGGCTCATTTAAACAGGAGAAATTGGAATAGTAACTTATATTCACTCTGATTTTACTTAGATCAACTTGGTTTTATTTTTCCTATGCTAAATATGTATTGAAAAAAATATTCACCCACGATAAAGCAGCCACATACGTCACTCCTAAACCATCAGGCAGACTCAGCAACAGAATCTAACTCAGACTAACATACAGAAAGACATGCGTGAGTTATTGTCTACGTGTGCGTGTATGATCGGTCATGAGAGTAAACAAAAGACTCACGCCCTCTCTCGGTCGTTATCCAGTTGACCGAGAGACTGTGGTAAGCGCTGAGAATTATAACGTGAATAGGAACTAAATTGTCTGTTTTCTGTCAATAGTAAGCCGATTTGTACTGGTGATTGTGATATATAATGAATTGTTCGTTGATTGTGGGTGATGTGTTTAGTCTTAATACTCTTTGATATTCTACAATCCTTTTGAACGCTCCATCATGCTCCACAATGTTCTGCAATGCTCGATAATGCCCTACAAGGCGCTACAAAGTTATACGCCGTTCCATAATGCTCATCAGCGCTCTAAAATGATCTACAATGTTCCACAATGCTCAATAGTACTCTAAAATGATCCGCAGTGCTCTACAATGCTCCTGCCGTAACCTAACTCAAACGTACCTTTACCTAACCTAACCTAACCTAACCTAACCTAACCTAACCTAACCTAACCTAACCTCACCAAACTTAACCTTACTTAACTTAAACCTCACCAAACTTAAACCTCACCAAACTTAAACCTCACCAAACTTAAACCTCACCAAACTTAAACCTCACCAAACTTAAACCTCACCAAACTTAAACCTCACCAAACTTAAACCTCACCAAACTTAAACCTCACCAAACTTAAACCTCACCAAACTTAAACCTCACCAAACTTAAACCTCACCAAACTTAAACCTCACCAAACTTAAACCTCACCAAACTTAAACCTCACCAAACTTAAACCTCACCACTATAAGTTTAGCTAAATATTTCTTAACCTTTCCTTCAGCGGCTTCACACGTTCAACCATCAACTGCAAAGATTGATGATGGAGATTTGCCATTCATTTTACATACGTGATTGATCAGTTCTTTCATGATGGCCTGAGTCAATAACTTCTCTATCAATCTTCCAGTTGAATATTTACCAAGGAATCAAAAAATGCGGTTAGGTTAGGTTAGGTTAGGTTAGGTTAGGTTAGGTGAGGTTAGGTTAGGTTTTTTTTAAATGTTTTTTTTTCTTATAATAGATGAACCTAATGTATATGATCTTTTTCAAATATAAATATTCATTGAGTTTTATATAAATTTTTCTAGTCGAATTTCTTATCACATTAAATATATATTAAATGGTGATATTGTATAGTTAAGAAATAATAGGCGTAAACAGATAAACATGATGGATAAAGTTTTCAAATTATTAAAAAGTATCTATATAAAGTTTGAAAAATTACATAGAAACTCCATCAAGAAAGTAAATAAAGACAAATAAGAGTTGGTGACTGGTGGTGTTAAGCGGCGGAGGGGCTGATAAAACACTGGAAACACGTCTCTCTCTCCCTTACCAAGGTAGGCGGACCATAAGCTCACTAAATGTTGCATAATATTAATGATCATGTTGTAGTTATGTAGGAGAGAAAATGTAGAATGAATGTTGAATAGGAGGGAAATTATATATTGTATGATATATGCCCTTTATGACTCTGTAAGTATATACATAAATATATACAGGCGAGCGTTTGATTCAGAATGTATTTATACACATGAATAAAACAAACAAATTGCTTATAGATAGACCAACATGGAAACGTCCACATGAATATCCATAACGTTCACAAAGAATACATATAAATAAAGTCTAAAAACATGTCTGTATGAACGTTTATTTTTGTTCACTCACAGGCTGAAGTGAGCAACAAAATTCACAGCTGCGCCAAAAATTCCTGGTATGATATGTGAGAAATTTCATTACTGTGTTCAAACCAGACTGTCATGTTCTACCATTTTGTTTGTGACAGCAGGGCCCTGTGTTGTATATGACAGCAGGGCCCCGTGTTGTATAAGACAGCAGGGCCCCATGTTGTATAAGACAGCAGGGCCCTGTGTTGTATATGACAGCAGGGCCCCGTGTTGTATATGACAGCAGGGCCCTGTGTTGTATATGACAGCAGGGCCCCGTGTTGTATAAGATAGCAGGGCCCCGTGTTGTATAAGATAGCAGGGCCCTGTGTTGTATATGACAGCAGGGCCCTGTGTTGTATATGACAGCAGGGCCCCCGTGTTGTATATGACAGCAGGGCCCCCGTGTTGTATATGACAGCAGGGCCCTGTGTTGTATAAGACAGCAGGGCCCTGTGTTGTATAAGACCCGTGTTGTAGCAGGACAGCAGGGCCCTGTGTTGTATAAGACAGCAGGGCCCTGTGTTGTATATGACAGCAGGGCCCCGTGTTGTATAAGACAGCAGGGCCCTGTGTTGTATATGACAGCAGGGCCCCGTGTTGTATAAGACAGCAGGGCCCTGTGTTGTATATGACAGCAGGGCCCTGTGTTGTATATGACAGCAGGGCCCCGTGTTGTATATGACAGCAGGGCCCTGTGTTGTATAAGACAGCAAGGCCCCGTGTTGTATAAGACAGCAGGGCCCTGTGTTGTATATGACAGCAGGGCCCCGTGTTGTATAAGACAGCAGGGCCCCGTGTTGTATATGACAGCAGGGCCCCGTGTTGTATAAGACAGCAGGGCCCCGTGTTGTATATGACAGCAGGGCCCCGTGTTGTATATGACAGCAGGGCCCCGTGTTGTATAAGACAGCAGGGCCCTGTGTAACACCCATTCTTAACACTGATATAAAAAAAATTATCGATGGAAAGTAAATATTTTAGTGTAGGTCAAAAATAACCTTTTAAGTTTTAATATCCGCTGAAAAACCTCCAGTCATTCTCGGTGAGTCAGAATCAGTAGTTTATAGAGTTAAACCATAATAACTGTTTACCAAGAGTCTTCAAGAGTCTATAGAGCTTAAAATCGTCAGAGTCTTAGATATCCACACAGAGTAAACAAAAAACTTAGAGCTGAACTTACTTATTGTTTACATAGTGTCGTGTTAGGTAATTTATCCATGACACAAAGCCATTAAACCACTTATAGAGACGAGATGGCGTTCGTGAATTATTATTATTATCATTATATGTTTAGGCAGTCATAAAAAGCCTAATGTTTATATTCTCAGTTACGTAAGTCATCGTCTCGAGTGTTTTGGTTCTTAAGTGACGTGTGAGTGTTTATTTGGCTTCCCTGAGTGTGTTTTGTTCTTATGATGGAGACGTGTTTATATCATTGCCCCGAGTGTCTTTTGTTTTGTTTATGATGTAGTAGTAGTTGTAGTAGTAGTAGTAGTAGCAGTAGTAGTTGTAGTAGTTGTAGTAGCAATATTAGTAGTAGCAGTAGTATAAAGAGGAGGACAAAAACTGAATAAAGAAGAAGAAAAATTAATAAGAAAAGAAGAAAATCAGGACCTGTGAAATTGTGACGAAAAACTTTGGTGTGGATGGCACGGGAATTTTGGCGTGACGTTGCACAAACTTTATTTTCAATATCAATTTGCACCTCCACTGCCACTACGCAACTTTCTGATGCTCAACTTTTACCGCAATATCTCGCGACTTCTCATGTGTGGAGGTGAGGGGAAGGGTGAGAGGAAGGGGGGTGAGGGGGTGAGAGGGAGGGAAGGTGAGGGAAGGGTGAAAGGGAAGGGAGGGGAGGGGAGATCGGAATTTTTGGAGGGTTTAACCAACTTCATTTATTTTCCAGGGTCTCTCTCTCTCTCTCTCTCTCTCTCTCTCTCTCTCTCTCTCTCTCTCTCTCTCTGGGGGTAATTTATATAATTTTCCGGGGTCATAATTTTACTTAAGATTTTAGTCCTTTACTGAGTTCCTATATTACTTTAGTGCAATAACGATCATACTCAATTATACATTATTCTACCCACTGGACTATACTCATTGGCCACCATTATCCCATATATCTAAACCATTTATCAAAATATTAACCAGAACGCATCACTAACATCAATTAAAAGTGTTTATGTGGAAAGAATATTTATATAGGGATGAAGAACTAAAAAAATCTAATCAAATTCACGTGTCAGTATGTTTATCAGGGGCTGTTGTAAGCTGGTCATGACAGACTGTGTTAATACTGTTGTTAACACCTACAGCACGGCCCCCCTGTGTGTGTGTGTGGGCGCTCTGAGTTAATTACTGGTATAGAGTGGAGGGCATAAATGCTTTCCTTTCTCCTCTATTATATATACATAAACAGTTTGTATCTCAAGCTTTAATATATATCAATCTTATATACATTACCAGTTTAATATATCAGTTACTTGTTTTATATATCCACAAACATCTAATTTTCCCTGTTTCTCTTTCTTTCATTCCCCTTCCACCTCGCTCGTGTGTGATTCCCGACGACAGCGCTGACGGGGAGTACATCATCACTACCATGACCAAGGCCGTCCTCCACCACAATGGGATCGTCACTTGGTCTCCTCCGGCCATCTTCAAGTCCTCCTGTGTGATAGACGTCCGGTACTTCCCCTTCGACCAGCAAGACTGTTTCATGAAGTTTGGTTCTTGGACTTACGATGGGTACCAGGTGGGTCTCTCTTCCTCCTCCTCCTCCTCCTCCTCCTCTTCCTCCTCCTCCTTCTCTTCCTCCTCCACTTCCTCTTCCTCCTCCTTCTTCCCCCAGCTTCCCCCTTACGTCAGGTGTACAGATATCCTTTTGTTATTCCAAGTGCAATAACATCAGGTGTGTGTCAGGTAATATATCCTATCGTTATCCTTCGGCCAAGAATAGGTGTCCTCAGAGGAATTTATTGCTGTAGCTATAAACTGTATGCAGGTGTCAGGTGGTGGATATTTTGCTGTGAACTGTGGGGGAGAAATTCCATGTTGGTTGTCTTATGCCATTGAGGGGAGGGGGTGAGATGGGGTCAATTACCTGGGAATAAAGGTGTTTTCGTCTCCTGTTGCACCTGAAGGAGGAAAATGATAGTGATGATGTTGAGGTGTTGAGATGATGGTGAGGTGATGGTGAGGTGGTAAGATGATGGTGAAGTGGTGAGGTGGTGAGATGATGGCGAGGTGGTGACGTGATGGTGTGGTGGTGACGTGATGGTGAGGTGTTGAGATGATGGTGAGGTGATGGTGAGGTGGTAAGATGATGGTGAAGTGGTGAGGTGGTGAGATGATGGCGAGGTGGTGACGTGATGGTGTGGTGGTGACGTGATGGTGAGGTGTTGAGATGATGGTGAGGTGATGGTGAGGTGGTGACATGATGATGGTGAGGGGTTCAGATGATGGTGAGATGTTAAGATGGTAAAGAGATGAGAGGTTCGCCATTTGATGAATTGTATGAGCCAGATATTGAGGTAATTAATAACACGTACAGGTGTTACATAATTAAAACAGGTCATATTTAAATAACATTACAGATGTTTTATAAATAGATAAACACAAACACACACTCACACACACACACACACACACACACACACACACACACACACACACACACACACACACACACACACACACACATACATACACACACCCACACACACTCTCTCTCTCACACACACACATGCATCCAATGAAAGTCTCCATTAACATACCTAACCTGAACTTCCCTCAAGCTGTATAAATCACTACACCCTTGACCAACGCCTCTCCTTCCCTCCCTCCCTCCTACAGATCGACCTGAAGCACTTAGACCAGAAGGACGGGACGGACAGGGTCGACGTGGGCATCGACCTCCGGGAGTATTACCCTTCTGTCGAGTGGGACATTATGGGGGTGCCAGCCGAGAGAAACGAGAAGTATTACCCCTGCTGCATAGAGCCCTACCCAGGTGAGTGTGTGTGTGTGTGTGTCTGTGTCTGTGTCTGTGTGTGTGTGAGTGAGTGAGTGTGTGTGTGTGTGTGTGTGTGTGTGTGTGTGTGTGTGTGTGTGTGTGTGTGTGTGTGTGTGTGTGTGTGTGTGTGTGTGTGTGTGTGTGTGTGTGTGTGTGAGTGTGTGTGTGTGTGTGAGGTACTCCCCTATCCTTCAGTTATTGTATATATCTCTACCCTGATGAATTATGTCGGAATAGAGGGAATAGGGAAGAGAAAGGGAATAGGGAAGAGAAAGGGAGAAATAGAAAGAAGGATTAAACACAGTGGGAGAGAGAGAGAGGAAGAGAAGGGTCGATTATCATCATTCTTAGTAACATCATCATCATCATCATCTTATTCATCATCTTCAACCTCATCCCTTTCCTCCATCCTTTATTCCTCCTCCTACTGCTCATCCTCTTCATCCTTCCCTTATCCCTCTTCCTCTTCCTTCTACCCCCTAGTCCCCATCCTACTCCTCCCTCCACTACCTTTCCAAATACTCTCCCTTCCCTTATCCTTCCTCCTACTCCTCCTACCCTATCCCTCCTTCTACTCCTCTTCCCCTATTCCTCCACCAGTTCCCTCTCCCTCCTACTCTTCCTTCTCCTCCATCCCTCCACATCATCATCATCCTAAAAGAAGCACAGGATGATGAGGTACTGGCCACCACCATCCTCCCAGCTCACATGATAGTGGACCATGATGCACCAACACGCTCCTCCTACCTCACACTTTGATGCTGCCTCCTGAATATTCAGTTGAGTCTCTCCAGGGGTCGTCTGGTTCAGTAGAGTTTCTCCGAGGATCGTCTGGTTCAGTAGAGTCACTCCAGGGGTCGTCTGGTTCAGTATAGTCACTCCAGGGGTCGTCTGGTTCAGTAGAGTCTCTCCAGGGTCGTCTGGTTCAGCTCTCCAGGGGTCGTCTGGTTCAGTCCTCCAGTCGTCTGGTTCAGTAGAGTCTCTCCAGGGGTCGTCTGGTTCAGTAGAGTCACTCCAGGGGTCGTCTGGTTCAGTAGACTCACCCAGGGTCGTCTGGTCCTCCAGGGGTCGTCTGGTTCAGTAGTCACTCCAGGGGTCGTCTGGTTCAGTAGAGTCACTCCAGGAGGTCGTCTGGTTCGGTAGAGTCTCTCCAGGGTCGTCTGGTTCAGTAGATTCTCTCCAGGGTCGTCTGGTTCAGTAGAGTCACTCCAGGAGGTCGTCTGGTTCGGTAGAGTCTCTCAGGGGTCGTCTGGTTCAGTATAGTCCTCAGGGGTCGTCTGGTTCAGGAGTCTCTCCAGGGGTCGTCTGGTTCAGTAGAGAGTTTCTCCAGGATCGTCTGGTTCAGTAGAGTCCTCCAGGGGTCGTCTGGTTCAGTATCCTCCAGGGGGTCGTCTGGTTCAGTATAGTCACTCAGGGGTCGTCTGGTTCAGTAGAGTCTCTCAGGGGTCGTCTGGTTCAGTAGAGTCACTCCAGGGGTCGTCTGGTTCAGTAGAGTCACTCCAGGGGTCGTCTGGTTCGGTCTCTCCAGGGGTCGTCTGTCAGTAGTCACCCAGGGGTCGTCTGGTTCAGTAGAGTCACTCCAGGAGGTCGTCTGGTTCGGTAGAGTCTCTCAGGGGTCGTCTGGTTCAGTAGATTCTCTCTAGGGGTCGTCTGGTTCAGTAGAGTCACTCCAGGAGGTCGTCTGGTTCAGTCTCCAGGGTCGTCTGGTTCAGTAGAGTCACTCCAGGGGTCGTCTGGTTCAGTATAGTCACCCAGGGGTCGTCTGGTTCTGTTGAGTCTCTCAGGGGTCGTCTGGTTCAGTAGAATCTCTCCAGGGGTTGTCTGGTTCAGTAGAGTCTCTCCAGGGTTGTCTTGTTCAGTAAAGTCACTCCAGGGGTCGTCTGGTTCTGTTGAGTCTCTCCAGGGGTCGTCTGGTTCTAGAGTCCTCCAGGGGTCGTCTGGTTCAGTAGAGTCCTCCAAGGGTCGTTTGGTTCAGAGTCCCCAGGGTCGTCTGGTTCAGTAGAGTCACTCCAAGGGGTCGTCTGGTTCAGTAGAGTCACTCCAGGAGGTCGTCTGGTTCAGTAGAGTCCCTCCAGGGGTCGTCTGGTTCAGTAGAGTCACTCCAGGGGTCGTCTGGTTCAGTAGAGTCACTCCAGGGGTCGTCTGGTTAATGGTTGTGTCACCCATCTATAACCCTTAACCATTGTCTTCCCTTTGTAATCTCCCTTAACCAGTAATCACCCTGAGCCAGTAATCACCCTAAACCAGTAATCACCCCGAACCAGTAATTACCCCTTAACCACTGTCTACCCATCACCTCAATCTTCATCCCCCATTATTTCTCCCATTGTTGTCATCCTTAACCAATGGAAGTGTCGCTATATCACCCCATTATTTTTAGCCCACGTCCTACTCCTCTGTCATCCCATATCTCTCCTATTAAGTACAAGGAGGCGGGGATGGAGTATTGATGTGGCCCTTATCTGAAAAATATGGTTCCGGATTGTCCCGAATGATTTATGGTACTGTATACGGTGCTGTCTTGTACGGGGTGGGGTGGAGGTGGGGGAGGTGGGGGGAGATGGGGGGGATGTGTTAACTAGGATGAATATGGATGGGGGAGGGTGTAGGGGGGTGTAGGGTGTAGGGAGAGGTGTAGGGGGTTATTATATTTGCCAGTGTGTGTGTGTGTGTGTGTTTGTTTTCTTCTCTTACTTTAATTCTTCTTCCTCCTCTCTTCTTACTACCTCTTTCCCTCTCTTCTTCTCTCCTCCTCTCCCTACCTTCTTTCCTCTCTCTTCCTCTTCCTCTCCTCCTCCCCTCCTCTCTTCTTCCCTCTCTTCTTTTCTCTCCTCCCTCTCCTCCTCTTTCCCTCTCTTCTTCTTCCTCCTCTCTTCCTACCTTCTTTCCCTCTCTTCTTCTTCCTCCTCTCCTCCTCTTTCCCTCTCTTCTTCTCCTCCTCCTCTCTTCCTACCTTCTTTCCCTCTCTTCTTCTTCCTCCTCTCTTCCTACCTTCTTTCCCTCTCTTCTTCTTCCTCCTCTCCTCCTCTTTCCCTCTCTTCTTCTTCCTCTTCTCCTACCCTTCTTCTCGTCTTTACTTTATCCGCACTGCGCTAAAACTTCTTGGCCCATAACGAAGACATATTGTGTGACGGGAGTTAACCCAGGCCTCCCACTCTCCCTCCCTCTTTCCTTTCCCTTCTCTCCATCCTATACCAGTCCTCTCCTCTCCCAGTCCCTCCTCTTCCATTCGCTCCTCTCCTTGTCTTCTCCTCCACTCCCTCCTCTTCCACGCGCTCCTCTCCCTGTCCCACCTCTTCCATTCGCTTCTCTCACTGTCCCTTCTCTCCTATGTGTCCTCTTCCAGTCCCTCCCTCCATCTTCTCCTCTATTCTCTCAGTACCTTCACTCCCATTCGTTCCTCTCCTAGTCTCCCCTCTTCCAGTTCTCCTCTCTCATTTCCTCCTCCTCCAATTCCTCCTCTTCTATTCGCTTCTCTTCCAATCCCTACATTCTCAGTAGTGTCCTGTCCTGACCTTTAAGTCGAGGATGTCTCCCCCTAATGAGGTGTCTGTCTGTCTGTCTGTCTGTCTGTCTGTCTGTCTGTTCATTAAGGTGAATTAATATTAAACTTATAAATATACAGTCTGTTGCCCCAGTAATGTAATATCTTCAGGTGTTCTCTTTACCTTACCAATAAACTTCACTCTTCACCTGAGTTTCCTAATTAGAAACACATACAGATACCTTTAATTAATATATAAAGGTAACCTACCATCGATGTGTTTACCTGAACTTCATTAAGGTAAACACTAAAGGTAAAGGTAAACTTCTTTTTTTGTTTCTTTCTCTCTTCTCTTAGATATCTACTTCAACATCACGTTACGAAGGAAGACGCTCTTCTACACCGTCAACCTTATCATCCCCTGCGTGAGTTTAGAGTACCTGTCGGTGTTGGTGTTCTACCTGCCGGCGTACTCTGGTGAAAAGGTGGCTCTGTGCATCAGTATTCTCCTCTCTCAGACTATGTTCTTCCTCCTCATCTCGGAGATTATGCCCTCCACTTCCTTGGCTATGCCGCTGCTAGGCAAGTACCTCCTCTTCACCATGCTGCTCGTCGGCCTCAGCGTCATCGTCACCATCATCGTCCTCAACATACACTACCGCAAGCCTTCCACGCATCGCCTCGCTCCCTGGGTTAGAAAGGTAGGTCAGTTGAGTGTCTGTCGGTGTGAGAGAGCGAGAAAGAATTTTGCCACGGAGAATAGCTATTTTATTGTGCACCCTTATGTTCGTCCTGTGAGCGGTAGTGGAAAAAGGATAACAGAGTAGAGGTCACAAAGGGGGATTGGAAGAGACAGAGAGACGGAGACCTTTATTCTCTCATTATCTCCTTCTTCTATCCTCCCTCCTTCTCTTTCCATGTCTTCCATTCTTTAATCCTTTCTTCTTTTTGCCTTTCTGTATCCTCCATTACTTCTCTCTCTATTATTCTCCCCCTCTCTCCGTCTCTTACATTCTCCATCCATCATCAAACATTCTCCTCTGTGTCTCCTTCTATTCCCTTTATTGCATCTCTCCCTTTAGTTATTATCATTCCTTCCTTCTCACTTCCCTCTCACCGATACCTCACTCTTCCCCCTTCCGTTACGTCACTTTTCTTCACTTGTCTCTTCCATTTTCTTCGTTTTATTCTTCTTTCTTCTTATTTCTTCTTCTCAGAGTATTACATCATTCTTTTATTTAATCAGTTTTTACATTGATTTCCTTAACCTTCATTTTATTTCTTCCCTCGCAATCATTTTATCAATAATAATAATAATAATAATAATAATAACGATGATGATGGTACATTAATAACACCACCTGCAGCTCTTCATCGACACACTACCGCCGCTGTTACTCATGCGGGTACCTAAGAAGGACGAGACGATTGCGGAGGCGCAGGAACTCCCGGGCAGGAGGCCTCGAGAGAACGGCAGTGGGGCCAATCTCAACGACTGGTTCAGGGAGCGACAACAGCAGTTCCCAGGTGGGTTGTGTGTGGTGGTGGTTGTGTTAGTTGGTGGTTGGTGGTAGTTTGTGGTTGTGGTTGGATGTGGTTGTGTTCTTAAACATTAAATCCTTAGACATGAAGGAATAGATGACCAACAAAATTGACACAAAATGAGAGAGAAATGACTAAGCGTTGCCCGGGAAAAACAGCTCACCATGTCTCTCTCCCTCTTTTTTTCCCATCCAGGATCTTCCTTCAACGGCCTACGTCCCCCAGGTGGTGGGGGCTGTCCTGGGGGCCTGAGAGCTGCGGGGCTGTGCGGGCTGGGGTCTGGTGTCCCTAGCGGAGACATTGACGAAGATGGTCTGCCCAGCGCGCCAGGGATGTCTGGGGGAGGGGTGTTCGAGGCACCGTACGGAGACCTGCCGGAGTGCTTCCACATCTCCCCGGAGTCCCAGGCGCATTACCCTTACGAGATCAAGCGGGCCATCTACAACGTCAAGTTCATCCACTATCACCAGATGCAGCAGGACAAGTTCGATGAGGTGAGTGAGTGGGTGGATGAGGCGAAGGGAGGAGTCATCCAAGTGGAGTTATTATTATCACCCAGAAAGCCAGGCGGGGCGAGGATTATAAAACAACGATGAGGCTAAACTTGACAAACATCATTCTACAAGTCAACAGAGTCAATGTACAATCCTTCCCCTGTCATGATGTATTAAAATATATGAAAAGCGTAAATCTAGAGTGAGATGGAGATACAGAGAGAGAGACACACACACATAGGGAGAGAGAAAGATAGAGAGCTAAATATAGATCATAGTAGAAGTATTCCACTCCTTCTGATGGGCCATGTCGTCCCTCTCATCCCGGACACCACTTGAGGGAGTACAAGCGTAATTAAGCCTTCAAGATAATCACTTTTATTACTTTTCTCACTTTTACCACTTCCGTCTTTTATTTTCTCCCTAATGTGTGCCGTGAGAGGCACTTGGAGGAGGCAGGGGAGCCATCTGCGTGTGGCACTGTGCTTCATAACTCTGTGTAAGGGCAGGGAGTCTTCATAAGGTAATGTTGACTGATTCTTACCATCTAGGCGAGAGGTTTTTTTTTAAGGAGGGAATGTCTCTCTCTCTCTCTCTCTCTCTCTCTCTCTCTCTCTCTCTCTCTCTCTCTCTCTCTCTCTCTCTCTCTCTCTCTCTCTCTCTCTCTTATCTTCTACTACTCCCTTCCTAAAAGCAATCACTGTATTTCTGCCACAGGAGGACGATGACTGGGCGTTCGTGGCGATGGTGCTGGACCGTCTTCTGCTGTGGGTGTTCGGCCTCACGTCTGTCCTGGGAACTATTGTCATCCTCTTCGAGTCTCCCTTCCTCTACGACTCCACCTCCCCTATAGACATGGTCCATAGCGAGGTGGCACGCCTCCAGTTCCAGCAACAAGACATTGATTTCTAAACATAATAAAAATAGGTGAAATACAAGGAACAAAACTACGAGCAACAGATGAGTGTACAGGCGCGTGAAGCGTTGACTTTGTTTTTCCTATACTGTCGTGTGCTGCTTGGAGTGAGTCAGTGAAAACACGACAACTAGTGACGCTATACTACGTGTGTGCGTGTGTGTGTGTGCGTGTGTGTCTGTGTGTGCTTGTATCATGCTGTGTTTTACGGTACACTCGTATCCACGCAGGTGTTTATACCCAGAATAATCGCTCAATTAACAGGTGTGTCTAGGTGAGAGAGGGACGCGCTGCTGGGGACAATAAACAAAGGAGCAGCTCTCGTGGACACCTGAGCTCACAGCAGCGTCATGGACACCTTGTTTATGTAGGTTTTGTATTTTTAGATCATCTGTTACTGTAGCCAAGAACAACTTTGTTCCATGTGTGTGTGTGTGCACGTGTGTATTATATATACAAATATATATTAAGCTAAACAAAATGTAAAAATATACAGATTATGTCGAAATTCACAAAATTATACCTGACTGAATCAGAAAAATACACTTGCATAATAATGAGGACTGCATGTAGGAAGATGCCGCCATCTATACCTCCCTGGGTCCTGGTGTGTGTGTGTGTGAGATAGGAAGTCAGGACCAATAGGTTGGATGGAGCGAGGGAGGGAGGGAGGGAGGGATGGATGGAGGGGGGGGGAAGGAGACAATCACACATTATCTCACAAACAGTTGCGTCAGTACCGTACTATAAGCGACCAGCTCACACCCCAAGCTCACGGCCAACAGTATACTCACCCTGACAACACGTAAAACAAAGGGTTTAATCACCTATCCTAACACTGAATACAATCATATTAATACCTGTATATACATTGCATCCTGTTAGTTTGTTCTTTAATAAAATATAAAATACTTGTTTGTACTAAAAGGGATTCGTTTAGGTATATGGCTTTTTATGGTAATGGAAATAGAGTATTTTAAAATTTATCGTCTCCATTTGTCCTCAGTTCATTAAAACCATTTGTAAAATATATAGTTAATGGAGATGACCTTTTAAACTTATAACCTGTCCTCCACTCATTTATTCCCCCAGTGGAGAAGAATAATTAGTACCTGGTTCTGTGGTACTCACCTGAACTTATGTCACTTTGGACAGAGGAAGTAGAGATAGAAGTCATTTCTTTTAAGCCTTGAGGTCCGGTGCTTCTTGATCACTGTTGAGAGGTTCCTACCCCCACTGCTCAACCAGCAATACTCGTGTGTATCATTATGTATCGTTATGTATCATATCTTATCACCTTCTCAAAATAGCTCCAGGGGGTGAAAACAATGGGATTTGAACGTTCCTTTTTGGGGTGTTTTCATCGACAACAAGAACCAACGATAACATTTTTTTAAGACAATATATTTTTTTTTAAATTTGCTTTAAAAAAAATCTTACATCTTCTTATTAGATCAACAAGTTTTTTTCAGCTGACGAATTCCTAGTACTTAAGATTTTTTCATAAAGCAAATACAAGATAATGATTTACACTTTAGGAAACAAGAAGTGTGGATGAAATAAGAGACTAACGAACATACAGGTTGCAACAGAGGTTAATTAACTCACCTGACACACCAAGGTCAACCTCTGAGACACCTGTATAACATAGGGATTTCTTATAACAAAAAATAAAGAAAATAACTCGGATGAGGAATTCAATTAGTGTGTCTGTCTGTGTGTGTGTGTCTGCTTGAGTGTGTGTGTGTGTCTGCTTGAGTGTGTGTGTGTGTCTGCTTGAGTGTGTGTGTGTGTGTCTGCTTGAGTGTGTGTGTGTGTGTCCTGACAATGGACTTTATAATTCCAAGGTATTTAAGAATATAACTATTTTTATGTGTTTTATTGATCAGTGTGTGCGTGTGTGTGTGCGTGCGCGCCTGCCTGTCCCTGTGTCTGTGTGTGTTGATGGAAGAGGTGTCAGGTCAACGTAGAGGTGTCAGGTCAAGTGTCAACGGTAGAGGTGTCAGGTCAACACAGGTTCAAACATTGATCAAATATTCTGTTGTTCTTCCCTTGAGGTTAAAACTCTGATAATCAAAACTAAAATAAAAGTGAAAAAAAATAACAAAAAATATCCACTTATTTGTATTAATCTGTAAAGAAATGGCGTAAATTATATAAAACGTTTTTATAATAGTATTTTGTTATTGTCATTCATCTAACTTTTTTGTCCTCCAATGGTGTAAATAATTAGAGGTATTTTAGTTAATCTGTTGGAGTAATATTGTATTATTATTGTTAATATGTTTTATTTTTATTTTTTCATGAATTGCGTTAGTGACGTAGATTTTTTTATATATTATTTTTAGTAGTAGTAGTACTAGTAGTAGTAGTAGTAGTAGTAGTAGTAGTAGTAATACTATTATTATTACTATTATTATTATTATTATTATTATTATTATTATTATTATTATTATTATTATTATTATTACATTAGCTAATTCAGGTTTCTATAAGATTCACTATATTCTTCACATTCATGTCTATAAAAACTCATTCAACAAGTAGGCCTATTCATTTTAATAGACCTTATATGAAAAAAAATAAACATTCATAAACATTTTTTGTTTGTGAAATAATGCTTTGTTGTTGTAGAGGCGAGTGGCAGGGAGTGAGAAACGATTGACACCCTCTTGGCTTTTCTATATAATAATGTACTGTACTAGCAATAGACTACGGCCGGACAGATCTATCGGTGTTTACCTGTACATAAGATGAATAAAGACTATTACATCCATGTTAAGTTTTATGTTATAAAAACTGTGTATAAATAATTAGGAAATAAGATGTTAACTATGTTTTTGTTTTTTAGGTAATCTGTTTCCTCGTCTCTTTTCTCCTCCTCTCCTTTTCTTCATTCTTCTTTGCTTCCTTTTAAAGTGTTAAGCAATTCTGGATTATTTTGGTATATTGATGCCCTGGATGTTATTGTGTGTTTATACAAATATATTCCATTTTATTGAAGCTGAAGCTGTTTAGTCTCATGGATAAGTGAGAAGATAAGTTGTTTACAATATGCTGTACTAATTAAAAGGTTTATATAATTGTTACTTAACTGAGAGGAATATAAAACACTACTGTACACTTTTACACTTATATTGTACTATTTACTTATACTTTTATTGATGAGAAATAACTATTGTAATTGTGTCTATTGTTATTGATGTGACTATTGTTATTATGTATTCAGGTTATTGTTATACTCGCTCCAACAACAACGTGAACCGAGATGTCTGGTTCGCCCAGTGAGTCTCTGGTTCTTGGGTTCATAATTGGTTTATTTCATAGTTTTCTCTCGTTTTCCAAATGGTTCCAGTCAAACGAGTTAATTTAAATCTATTAAAAGAAAATAATTCCCAGATCCTGAATTGCATATCTTTCATCATTTGCAATTTTATGACATGGTGATAACTGTGTGTTTACTTGCGTGTGAGTGTGTGTGTGTGAGTGTGTGTGTGAGTGTGTGTGTTGAGGGAAAGTTTTCATGGTGTGGACAAGCTCATCAGCTGTATCGATGACTTCAAAGGCGACGGTTGATTGGTTAATCATTTTTTATCCATCCAATCACCATCAAACGCATTTGACGTCATCCCAGGATGGGGAGAAAAGAACTCGCCCTCCTAAAGCGTCCAGGTAGTGTGTGTGTGTGTGGCAGGGACCGAGTGTGTCGACCTCTGCTGTCTCCTCCTTGTCTCATCGTTATAAGTGACTGTTGTTTACTTTACATCTTGCAAGTGTAGTGACTCACATTAAGGTGTTTACTGATGATGTTTTCATTTAGTACTAGAGTAAGAGACTGAACACCACGTGTGACGACATAGATGCTCAAGTATTTTTGTATTATAGAGGAAGTAGTGGCCACCCCGCGCCTCCCGACAACACCTCTGTCGACCTTTCTCCCTCATGAGGCCATTTGGGTCCATTATATATATATATATATATATATATATATATATATATATATATATATATATATATATATATATATATATATATATATATATATATATATATTTATATATATATTATATTTATATATATATAATGAGTGCTTGGGGTATTTTAGTGCTGTGCCGTATGACAGTTAGGTCAACGTCTTGCTTATTACCAATCGTTAACTCAGACTTACGTGTAGTATAAGGGAGTGTTCACTAGGAGGGAGTTCACGATCAGATGGATAACAATTAATCACCTGACCAGTGACGTCAGTCAAACGTCAGCAAGTGAGCTTAGCCAATCAGGAACCTTCTTTGACGTCACTCATCTTCTCGCGACACAGACGCTTGATTTCGACGTCAATCAACTGAAGATAACTTTATATATTTGTCACATATCCGAAGCTTTTCATTGGCTACCCAGCGGGCATATACCATGGTGTTCCTCATGCTCAACTTGAATAGAACGAATACCAAAAAAACATAACACATAAAAGGTTTATATATATATATATATATATATATATATATATATATATATATATATATATATATATATATATATATATATATATATATATATATATAGTGGCTCCATTAGTGATGATACAACTGCCAATACAGTATTTTTAAGCTGTTGAATACATGTTAGTTGCTGCTGTTGCTGCCGCCGCTGCTGTTACTGTTGCTGCCGCTGCTGCTACTACTGCCTATATCGTGTAGTCGCTGCTGCAGGGTCAATTATGTTTCACTTTTATTAATGGCTTAAGCACAACTACCCCCCACCACCCCCCCACCACTTGCAGCTGCTATACGCCCTCTCCTTTCCTTCATCCCTTATCCCCTCCCCCCTCTCCATCCCCTCTCCATCCCCCTCTCCATCCCCCCCTCTCCATCCCCCTCCATCCCCCTCCCATCCCCCTTCCCCTAGACTGTACATGACCGTGTGAGGAGTCCAAATTAATACCTATAGTTCTCACACGTCATCTTAAGACTTATTTCAACCATTAGTTCCTAACCACTTCAGTATTAAACTGAATGATGTGTTTTAACGCTCTTTATCACAACTATATTAGATAGAAGATTATTTAACTATATTTGGACTATTATTATTATTATATTATTACTATCATATATCTCTATGTATGTCTCAGTATTTTAAGTGAACTTTGGTCATCGTTTAGTAGATAGAAGCCTCCTGAGTCATTCTCTTATAACACAACACAATCCTTCCTTCTTCATTGTATAATTTTACGTGGTATTATTTATTATTATTTTGAATTATTTACCTTTTTATTCATAATCTCCATCTTGAATGTTTCATTACTTAGAGATTTTTCTTGTTTTTTTTACTAAGTTTGTCAAAATGATTCGGACGTGTGATTCAATATTATCCCATAAGAAGGTTTACCGACTGAACTATTCTTTTAGGGAAAATATGTTGACTTTTTATAGTTTTTCAATGTAGTTTCTTTTTTTACTTTGAACGATGTTTAATGTTTAAAAAAATATATAACCCTTAGCTTATAATATTTTGTATAATGGTGGATTATTTGTCTTTCTTGTTATTGTGTGTGTTGCTAGGGGAGTGTTGCTAGGGAGGTGTTGATAGGGAGGTGTTGCTAGGGGAGTGTCCCTAGGGGAGTGTTGTCTAGGGGAGTGTTGCTATGGGAGTGTTCC